ATTCTAATTTTAGATCATGTTTAATCATATACAGCATTTCAAAAAGTAGGCATCGACAAAAATTTTATTATGCAAATCAATGCTTTAAATGTCAAATTATATAGAAAAACATTTACTCTATATGATGGTATAGCTAACTCAATTTTGTAAAAAATGCCATAAGCCTTGTTTTAATTGACGCATCCCCATATGCCAAAAATTCTTACTTTAAGGTCAAAAATTAATTGTCATAGTAAATTTTTGTTATTTATATTTTTTTTTTTTACAATTTCTTATATTTTTTATATATATACAAGATCCTGTAATTTTATTGGATCTGGACCAAGAATTTTAGAATTAGAAGTAATTTTAGTCTATGATTTTCTCACTCTATATAAGTGGCATGCCTTATATCTATTTGAGATTTTGGCATACCATAGGTCAATGAATGCCATGCCAGGTACTCTACTCAGGACTATAGTGAAAAAAATGCAAAATGTGCACTTAGGGAGATTAAATTTTATAATTGTTATATGAGTTGAGACCAAGCATATTAGGGAGTTTTTCATATACCGTACACTTAGTGAATATGCACTTAGGGGGGTCTGACTGTATATCTGATATTTATAAAAAAAAAAAGAATCCAAATAAATGTAAAAAAAAAAATTTGGTTTGTTAACTTCATGTATAATGCGAATTTTTCATCGAAGTTCATTCATATCATTTTTGAAATGTTGTTAAAGTTGAGCAGAAAGAAGACAATATTATAAATTAATATGGAAATATTAATTTTAGTATGTATGAATATGTATACGTACTATACATACAGTAACTATATAATTCGTAATATCGATTTTATACTTATGTACTTAAGTGCTATGTATTCTTGATCGATTGATTATAATTAGCTAGAGCAGCCAACTGTGCTACATATTCAAGACATGCTATTGGGGTGGTCTGTCAACTAAGTAAATCAAAACTATATGTGGTATATAATAAAATTCATAAATGAAAATTTTTAGATAAGTAATAATTTTATATAATAATTATTGCAAATTTTAAATGGATGTACAGCCCTAACGGCTTGATAGTTTCGAATAAAATTTTGCAAAAACCTGCATTATGTCTTTACAAACAAAGTTATAGAGCTATTTTTTCTGTTTAAACATAAAAGTTTTTTTTTTCTTAAAAAAGGCAAGAAGAAAGAACTTAATTAATTTCTTTTTTAAAAAAATAGCTCTATAACTTTGTAAAGATGTAATGCAAAATTTTATTCGAAGCTATCGAGCTGTTAGGGCTATGCATCCATTTAAAATTTGCAATAATTATTATATAAAATTATTACTTATCTAAAAATTTTTGTTTATATAGTTTTGATTTACTTAGTTAACAGACCACCCCAACGTGCTATATATACTGTATACAGTATGTATATTAAAAATTTTGTATAGTATATATGTTATGTGTCATTTTACAATTCATGTTAGTTCCAAAATGACACATGTTAATTTAAAATTGCAATGTAGCATATGTCAAATAATAATCGGTATAACAATACCGACTACGCATATAGACATATTTTATTAGCAAAAAAATTAAAATAATTGAAAAAGAATTAATTGCATATTAATTGCTATGTAATAAATGATTATTGCATTCATCTTTTAATACACAACCACAGCACCTAGTACAAAGCACATTGTTTTTTCGATATGAACAACTTTTAGTTTTGCAGTTGGTCTTATTACAATGACAACTATCATTTTTCTTAAATATTCTTTTCTTTGCTTGATTATTTGTTTGAGATTGGATAAATAAATTATCTTCAATATCTTGTACTTGTTATATTGGGCGTATCAAATTTTGCTACGCACCTGCATTTCTTAATGAAATAAAATTGCCTAGTAGAATAATATTAAGTGATGGGTATTCATTTGTACCTGTTGTAAGTGAAAAAGAAATTTAAGTTGATTAGGATTATTAAATCATTTTAATCCTATTTTCCATTTACAACATATCTAAAAGTTCTATTTCATTGGCTAGAAACCATGTATCTAAAATTTCAAATTTGCATCCAACCTGATAGAAATCAAGATTGGGGTTTTTTTGAATTACTTTACAAGGTACAAAGTGTCTATCTATTTTTAGCTTATCAATATCTGGAACTCTAATTTTAACAAAGTCTCCCGGACTAAAACACTTAGTTTTATGCCACTTTTCCATAACATCATGAATAATCTGACGATTTTTTTCAACATGCTGTTTTGCTATATCATGTATAGGTTTGTGATAATCATAAGTTGTACAAGATTGGCTTTTAATTGATCTTTGACTTTCTTTATCTGAATCTTCAACAAGTAAATAATCTTCTTTATCTGAATATTCATTAGATAAATAATCTTCTTGGTCTAAATCTTCAATAAATGTATAAGAACAGCTTGCTTGGCTTAAATCTACTAAGTTTATATCTTCATGCTAGAGTATATTATTATTAATTAAAAGTTAATTATTTTATAATTATATGTATATAATATAAAGTTTCGATATATATTTAAATTTATATTATCTAGATTTGGTATATGCCATTTTTCCTTTTCTATCCATGAGTTTTGTAATACCGATACATCAATATCAGTATTCAAAAAACTATTTTCTCGTGATATAAGCATTTTATCTTCATTTGAATTGCTAGATTCAATGTCATATTCTTTATTAATATCGTCATCATCATTTATTATTATTATATCTATGTTGTTTTCTGTAATTAAAAATTTTTAAGAAATTAATTGATGATCCACCAGTCACCTAGTAAAAATTTTGGCGCAGATCGTATTATGTAAGACACAAATTGAAATTTTAAGGTTCTATGTAAAGTCAATAAATTTTTAACTAATATTTACTTTAAAGTAGTACAAATTATAGGTAATACTATACGCTTTTGATGTTAAAAGCATTAAGTATAGAAGCTCTTCGTTAAAAATTTTACTTTGGACACACGTGGCATTTACTATGTAACATATATCAGTTTTAAATATATAAAATTATAAATATATATATATATATAATTTTCTTTTTGGTATTAAGGTGACCTCTTTGGCCGGGGAATGTTTTATTAGATAGTTATGTTTTTCAATTACAGTAAGGGTACATA